CTCTGGCTCTGCCAGGGGTTGGGGCGGCGGGGGGTAGTGGTGGTGGTGGTGGTGGTGGTGTGAATTTCCATGGCCAGTGTTTGAAAGTACTGAATCCAGCAGAGTTCAACATGATTATTACTCCTCTTCTCAGGGCCTTTTTATGATTATATGCAAATCACAAGCAAGCGGGTGGGGATAGGCGTAGCGTGGCCAACACTGTCATTGAGTTCACGTGTTGAGGCTCACACGGGCTGGAATCCCTGCTCTCTGCCTGAGCTGGCGGTCTGTGGGCCAGCCTCAGTCCCTTAGTCTGTAGTAGAGATTGTTGAGACGATGAAGTGTGCCAGTGCTTGTAAAACACACAGCTCAGAATGCCTGGCACATACGGGACATTTAACAGTTAGCTAGAGCTAATCCTTCTGAACCCCAGGCCGATGGCTCTGAGGTCGTCATGTTCTGGGTCGTCACAGTGCAGCAGAAAGAGCCCCGAGTAGGGTAACCAAAGTTTTGGGGCTCCCTTTTGGCCAGTAACTAGACTGGATGATTTTTAGCTAATTTGCCACTGTAGTATTCTGTTTCTTTTAACTTTTGAAAAAAAATTGATGCCTATAATTTCTTAGTCAAACTCTAATATTATAGGCTCCTTTGGGTTATACTATAGAGGCCAGAATTGGCAAGTTCATTTAAAGGGCAAGTATATAATCTCTGAGCCACTGTGTGGGAGAAATTATTTCATTTAATATGTGTGTCAGCTAGTGATAAAACAATTTACTAAGTCACCTCCGGAAGGATAAGCTAAAGTTAGTCAGTTTGGCACTTGGGGATCACCCTAAACGTTAGTATAGAATCGACATCAGGACTGGCTGTGCCTTTATCCTAAAACCAAGAGGCATCATCTACTTTCCGTGATGTGAAACAGAGTGTAATGTCAGGCAACGTGAATATTTTACTGTTGTGTCCAAAGGCTAATTTTCTGAACGTTGGGTCCAGGGGTGGGTGGTGTTCGTGGCTGTCTGACTTTGTTACTAACCTAAGTTTAAACCGTGAAGTGATATAACACCTACTGCATTGAGCTTTAATGATCTTACCGGTTCCACTAGTTTAGGGCATTAGAGGGCATGCATCTAGTGGATAAAGCAGTGCGTCTTCCAAGGAGGACCTGGGAATTCTGAAGAACAGAGACCCACGCGGGCAGGTGGAAGGAAGCAAGATAGTTCACGAGCCCTTTACCTCCATGAGAAAAATCCAGCGATTAGTTCAGTGGCTGTCTCACAACTTTTGTTTGCTGAGAAAACGGACTGTTCTGTGCTATTTCTTATGAAAACCCAAGGCTGGTGTTGCATTAACATTTCTCTGGGAAGACCTGCCTCGTGTATGGAGGCTGTTTAGTGCTTCAGTTTCCGCGGCTGGACGTGGCACAAGCAGGCGCCTCTATCTCCGTCTGCTGCCGATTCCCCCTCGTGGTATCTAGTTGCTTTTCACGACAGGTGTGCTCTTCTGTTTGCACCTCTGGCATGAGCCAAGGGGAAAGGTCTGAAAGACGAGCTTTGCTATTCTTCCAGCTTGTACTCCAAGCCCTGTTAGCCAGCAGGATTGACAGGGCCTCACAGAAATGGCCAGTCCCAGATTAAACAACCTCACCGTGAAATCCTCCGGTAGGGCTAGGGCAGCTGCTCCAGATTTGGGGGCCACGCCTCTGCGCCCTCCCTCCCGGGTACTTTCATCAGGTGTCTCGTCCAGCCAGAGGGTGTTCGGAGGGTGTCCTGGGGGTTGGGTGGGTGTGAAAGCGGTCGTCTGGATTCGCCCCTTTGGTGGCTTTCTCGAGAGATGCACATCGTCTTGACCTAAGGCAATGGTAGGCAAACTGCGGCTCGCGAGCCACATGCGGCTCTTTGGCCCCTTGAGTGTGGCTCTTCCACAAAATACTGACTTCTGCACATGGGCCACGAAGTTTCAGTCGCACTGTACATGCGTGCTTGCACATGGTATTTTGTGGAAGAGCCACACTCAAGGAGCCAAAGAGCCGCATGTGGCTCGCGAGCCGCAGTTTGCCGACCACTGACCTAAGGGAATGTTGCTGCATAATTCATTTCCCTCTCCAGGCATGTTAACTGCAAAAGTCCTTTCAGCACAGTGTGGCGTCTTCGCAAAAAGGAATGTGTCCCATTCGGAAAGGTATTTTCTGTTTAAAGGCAAGACACTGGAGATACTCTTGGAGTGTTATCTGCTACAGAGTGAGGAGGGCCCACTTATTGTGAAATTGGACTCTGGACGGGATTCGGGAATTCCTCCCAGGCGCTCGGCGCTCCTGGCATCAGAGCAGGAGATGACTGTGGGTTTGATGTGAGATTATTTGCCACATGGGACGATGGAGGAACAAGTACCTTCAGCTCCGTTTAAGCACATTAAACATCCTGGCCGTGCAGACCCCAAGCAGCCGAGGGCAAGTCAACTGCTCTAGACACGCCCCGACCTCCACGCCAGGTCTTGTAGCAATTTGGTCTGACAGCTCCTTGCAAGGAGCCCGTGGGCATGGAGAAGACGGTTGCTTGTCAGGCTACTTCTGTGCTTGGACTGGGAGACCTGTGAAGTGTCCAGAAGTCTCTGGGAGATCTTTCTGCCCATCTGCTTTTTAGTTTGACGGATGTGTCAGTCCAGACAGCTGGGTCACCTAATGAATAGAAATTTAATTTCCACACAGGGATCAAATATCTTAGTGTTTTCCCTGCCACATCAAACTTCCCTGACAGAGCCAAGAGGAAAATGCAAGTCATCCAAGGAGTTGCTGATAGGTAAATGGAGTCTTTTACTTACTTTTTAAAAAGACTCTAAAGTTACTTAATTGGATGCAGTGCAACACCGTATGGGGCAGATGATCGCCCAGGCTCAGACGTGAGAGATTTTAATGATCAGAACCCTGGAGCTCTTGTGATATGTGTTAACTCTGAAACCTGAGACAAAGGCTACTTCGTTTTAGGTCATCTCAGTGGACAAATATTTGTTAAGAACCTGTGCACTTTGGGAGGGGCTGGGAGCATCCACAGGCCACGAAGACCTGCCTTCAGTGAGTTGTACTCAGCTGAGGGGTGAGAGAAATGCACACGTAATAGTTAAATAACCGGTGACTATTTATGTCTCAAATTGTTCATATGCTACAAAATCCCAAATAGTCGTTTATAACTAGGGAACATATAAGGACCGGAGAAGTCAGAGGCTGTTTGGGAGTAGGTTTTTAGAAAGATTGAAAGAGCACAGGACAAAGGTTAATGCCAGCAGGACTGAGAATTGCTCTCAGGTGGGAGCACAGATAGCCCACGTGGCATTAACTGAGCACCTACTATCTGCCAGGCACTGGGACTGCAGGGAGTTGGGGCTGATTAATGACTAACAGAGTACAGTCCCTGCCGTCCAAGGAGCTGTGAGTGTCATAGGGTCATTTAAGTTGATGGCAGAGCTGTAGAATGCAGGGTTCCTGACACGGTCCACAAACTTTGGGAATCACAGCCTGGAATGGTGATAGCCTTGGAAACCGGTCTAATGCAGGATGGATGGCCTCAGATCGCAGAGTTAAGCTGTGACCATTCTAGCAGAAAAATTCCAGCACACTCCTGGCCCAGGGTGGTCATTCAATGCCCGAAGCCAGCCCGCTGGAAACCAATCCCTAAGGTTTCGGCTCAGAATGCGCCGGTGTGTGGTAGCTCAAATACAGCGGGTTCCCAGGCTCTCCTGTCAGTTGGCACTGAAGCCTGGGGGGGGGGTGGGGGGTGGGGAGTGTGGGCTCAGGTTTAAAATACTTCGGCGTCCCCAGCCAGCAGCTGAAACCTGAGAGAATAAAGTGGTAGTGTTGTGGAGGGCTGGGCCCGGCTGTTCTCCTAGGAAGGTTCCAGCCATAGAACAGAAAGTTTTATTTTCAGAGGAAATCTGATGAAAGCCAGTGTACTGAAGGAAACATACTTTTATTTTATTTTATAATTCCTGTTAGGAACAAACATTCTATTTGACTTTTTAAAATAGGACAATAATGAGCATGACCCTGTGTCCAAACACAAATATTGTTTAGAGGCTGAGTCTGCTTTATTTGTTTCTGGGCTTCTATGAGATATTGGTGGTAAAATATCAGTTCACTAAAACCATTTGAAAAAAACTGTATGTCTACTCTGTCTTCAATGCATACGTGTTGTTCCTATTAAAGAGCTAAAAGCTGTGGAACTGGTATACTTAGTGAGGGATCCGTCATAGCCAGCGAGCGATACGCTGTTACCAAGTGGCAGTAATAGAAAAAGAACGTGTGAGTGTGGGTTTAGCTGCATTGGCCGTGAAGGCCCTGCTAAGCCAGTGAGCCCTGGAAGCGGGCTCGCGGTGGGCTTTCGCCCTTGTCAGTTGAGCATCACTGGCCTTGCTTGCTCTTCGGAAGGTGCCGTGCCTGGCCTCTGCCTGGATCTGGGCTGTGGCAGGAAGCTCTGGACTGCCCAGGCCCCTGGGGAGCACTTGGCTGTAGTGATAAGCGTGGCCAAAGCTCTGAGCAAGGCCAGGCCGGCAAACGTTGGCGGGCCTTGATGGGCCCCTGGGTGATGATTTACCCTAAGCACCTTCATACCTTTGTATGCATCCCCAGGAACGTCTGACATGATGTCAGTGTTTTGTAGCTTTCCCAGTAAGGGCGCTGCACAGTGGCTGTGACAGAGTGAATGCCGGAGATGGCTTAAAACTAGCCCTGGGCCTCCGAAGCTCAGGTTTAGCGGAATGTAACCAAATCCGCACGTGATAGGTGCTGCGGTCTCTGTGCCATCTTCGTTCTGTGGATTAGGCCACATCGGCCTCCCTAGGGGCATTCGTCTGTGATCAGCCCTTCATGCACATTAGCAGGGAGTCCCGAGGAAGGGCAGGGCCAGAAGTGGGGGTTCAGGGGCACAGAGGAGAGGGAGGGGTGGTCACTGCGATATAAACCTGAAGAGTAAGGCAATAAGCACATCCCTCATTTCCTCACCATCCTGAATCCCTTCTCTTTGCTTTCTCAGAGGGCAGAGCTGACGTCTGATAAAGACATGTACCTGGACAACAGCTCCATTGAAGACGCTTCCGGAGTGTATCCTATTGATGATGATGACTATGCTTCTGCATCAGGCTCGGGTAAGGCCGGGGACGTCACGCTCGCCTCCGTTCTCCATGCTGGCACGTGTGCACGCACACATGCACGCACACGTGCACCCATAGTGTCCTGGCTTAGACAGGGAGACAGGCAGGGTGCACAGAGGTTAAGAGCATGCTCTTTGTGTCCAAGTGCCTGGCTGTGGATTCTAGCTCCCCGTCACCCACGCTGTGAGATCTTGGGAGTGTGTTTAACTTGGCTGGGCCTCAGTTTCCTCATGTATAGAGTGGGAGGTCCCTACCGCATAGGCTTGCTGTGAGGATTAAAGGGGTTGGCACATCTAAGAGCTCTTAAGCGTGTGCTGCTTGGCATGGAGCCTGTGTTCTGTCAACATTAGCTTTTAATTGTATTACTCAGGGTTTGAGAGTGACGTCATGAAAACCACTCCTTCAAAACAAATCCTTCAAACACTAGTTTTTATAAAACTGCCAACCCTATGTTGAAGATTATGGATGACACCAAGGAGAGTTATATTTTGTTACTCCTAGGGTATTGCTCAAAAGTAGAAGGGGGAACGTAGCAGGGATAGCCTCAACTCCCTGGTGTATCAGTTATCTGTTGCCTCAGTGATGCCGTGTAACAAACCATCCCCAAATGTTGAAGATAAAAACCACAGTCACTTATTTAGCTTATCGTTCTATGGGTTGGCGGTTTAAACTGGGCTAAATGGGCTCCTGCACATGTCAGTGGTCAGCTGCGGGTTGGGAATGCAGCTTTGCTGACCTTGGCTGGACTTTGTCATATCTCTGGAGCAGCTGGGCAGACTTGGCTCTGGTCCACACGGCCTCTCATCCTCTGGTAGGCCAGCCGTTTGTTCACAGGGTGGAGGCAGAGATCCCAAGAGAGCAGAACTGTGCAAAGCCTCTTAAAGCCTCGGCTTAGAACTGGCACAGCATCCCTACCACCTTTTATCGGTCAAAGCAAGGCTAGCCCTTACTCCGCCTCTTAACGAAAGAGCTACAAAGCGACACTGCAGAGGACGTGGAGCAAGGAGGAATGAGCGATTCTGGCCATTTCCGCCATCTATGGTACCTAGTACATGTTTCACCTGTCCCAGGAATGGCCCCTAAGAAGCTGAAAAGAGGAAGAGCTTGTGCATATATTTAATTAATGATCAAGTTTGGAATTTGTGGTCAGCAACACACTAGGAAAGTCTTATTTAGGACCTTTCTTGCTTTAAATTGCCATTGTAAATTCAACAGATGGTAAAAGTTAGGCTGAATATAGTTGTCTGATTAGTCAGATTGGCCTGGCTTCAGAGTGACCCAGAATAAATTCAGATCTACTGGATCTTTGGTAGAGATCTGGCTACATAAGAGTGAGTGTTTTAAGTTAGCAAATGGCAAGTCTGAAAAAGACAAGTGAGGTTGTGGCTGACCTAGTAACAATGAGCTTACAGTGCAGTCCTAATGTAAAAATAGCCCCAGTTATTTTCGGGAGGGTGATATATATTGCACGCACAGATTGAGTGTGAAAAGAGTGCTTCTCCATAGCCCACAACTCTATTAATATATTTCGCTCATGGCACCTCTTTTTCTTCTTTGGCACCTGAACAGCGCTTCGTAACTAACTGTCATCTTCAAAATGTCCCAGGACATAATAAACATGGATACTGGTTTATCTGCATTTCACAGAACCTAGAATCCAAGAGTTGGTAGAGATCTGTAGCTGTTGTCCAAGTCATTTTGCTGATTTCTACTGATTGTCTTTAAGTTTCATATCTACGTAGTCCTGTTCCTCTGCTAACCCCCGTCTCCCCATCAGGGTGAAAGGGGTTTGGAATGAGTCATCTGAAGTCCTGAGCCCAGTAATCAGGTGGCTCAAGTAGAGGCTTAGATGTGGGCTGGCATTGCTCTGCCCTGACCCCAGCCTGGGGCAGATGATTGCTGCAAAGAAGTTCATCATTCAGACCAGTCGTGGAGGGAAACTTCAGTCAATATTTACACAGATAAATGTGTAGTTACAAACCGTGATAAATGCAATTAGGGTAAGAGAGGTGGTACTAAAAATTAACTTAACAGAAGACTCTGAGGTCTTTCCCGAGGAATGGCTTTTGTGCTGAGGTCCAGAGGTGAGTTAGGAATCAACTAGGCTTGCTTTCTGGCAGAACAGGAGGGAACCGCATGGGACAGACAATAGGGAAGATGTTGTCACGGAAGCTGGACAGGTAGGCAAGGCTGGGCTTGAGGCATTTAATGTTCATCTCAAGAGCAGTGGAGAGCCATTGTAATAGTTTTTTAAAAAATATAATTTTTTTTTTTATTTTAGAGAGGAAGGGAGAGGGAGAGAAAGAGAGAGGTAGAAACATCAGTAATGAGAGAGAAGCATTGATCGGCTGCCTCTTGCACACCCCACCCTGGGGATTGCGCCCACAACCGGGGCATGTGCCCTGACTGGGAATCGAACTGTGACCTCCTGGTTCATAGGTCAATGCTCAACTCAGCCACTGAGCCACACTGGCTGGACCCATGATAATAGTTTAAAGCGGGAGGAGGATGGGGTCACAGCTGGTGTGTGTATAGTGGACTGAAAGGGGGCTATTAGGAAGAAGGCAGGTATGATGGTTCCTGGAAAGATAACCGTGGCTTGGATGAGTGGTTGCCCTGGGACTGTAGAAAGGTGTTAGGGTGAAGAGACATAAGAAGGTAAAATCAGTAGAACTGGGTGATTAGCTCGATGGGGTGGGAGGAAGAGGAAGTCAGAATTGTGGTTTATAGGAGTGGAGGGTTCATTCATTGCAAGGTGTTCACCAGGTTTGTGGGGCGAGAGGGAGGGAGATGATGATTTTTGTTTTGGATGTTTTAGAGGTGTATAGTACAGTTGAGTCATTCAATAAAATGTCAAGTAGGCCTGTGGATATGTAAGTCTGAATTTCAGAGAAGTGATATAAGCTAATATATAAACTTGGGTTTCTTTTATATTTGGTTGGTAATTGAAGCCATGAGCATGGATGAGATAAAAAGTGCAGAGTAAGAAACCTAGGGCCACCCAGCCAGTGTGGCTCAGTGGTTGAGCGTTGGCCTATGAACCAGGAGGTCACAGTTTGATTCCCAGTCAGGGCACATGCCTGGGTGTGGGCTTGATCCCCAGTGTGGGGTGTACAGGAGGCAGCCGATTAATGATTCTCTCTCACTATTGATGTTTCTATCTCTCTCCCCCTCTCCCTTCCTCCCTGAAATCAATATATATATATATATATATATATATATATATATTTAAAAAAAGAAGCCTAGGGCCAAATCCTAAGGAAGTGTTGATATTTTGTGTTTACATAGAAGAGAATGAATCTGCAAAGGAGACAAGTAGCCGAGAAGTGAGGGGGAAGCCAGGAAGTCAAAGTCATAGGAGCCCAAAGATCAAGTTTCAAGGAGATGATGGTTGACAAGAGTGCAGTGATGCTAGGAGATTTGATCACATGAGAACCACTATGGACAATGCCACTGGGTCTAGAAACATGGCGGACCTTGGTGACCTTAACAAAACAGGACCATAGTGTGTGTGATGACAGGAAACATCTACAACTAGGGGGAAGGGAGCAGATGGTGTGGAAGTAAGCCCGTGAGTGGCCACAGCACCAGTGGAAAAGTCTGGCCAAGCCGAGGGGACCCAGGGCAGCAGCTCTCTCAGAGAGGGATCAGCCATGGGAGAGTTTTCCTTTTTTGGTTATTGTTTTAAAATAGAAAATAGAGAGAGCATGTGGAAGGGAAGACATCTCATTGAGCAGGAAAGATCAACCATTACAAATAAAAGAAGGGCTACTGAGGAATGTTCAGGATAATATATTTTTTTAAAAAAATATATATTTTATTGATTTTTTTTACAGAGAGGAAGGGAGAGGGATAGAGAGTTAGAAACATCGATGAGAGAGAAACATTGATCAGCTGCCTCCTGCACACCCCCTACTAGGGATGTGCCCGCAACCAAGGTACATGCCCTTGACCGGAATCGAACTTGGGACCCTTCAGTCTGCAGGCTGATGGTCTATCCACTGAGCCAAACGGGTTAGGGCATCAGGATAATATTCTTTATAAAACTTGCCAGGCTACCCACAGATCCACTTTGAAATCACTCCTTCATCCCAGTGCACACTGCGGAGTTCTTGCCGAGCAGCCATTTTGAAGGAACATGGCTCTGCGGGTGTCAGCTTTGACAGGATCATCGGATGATGTGGAAACCTGCATCGTGATTCATGTACTCGGCTCCTCTTTGCTTCTTCCCCCAGGAACGGATGAGGACGTGGAGAGTCCCGAGCTGACAACATCCCGACCGCTTGCAAAAATCCCGTCCACTAGTGCTGCTCCCAAAGTGGAAACCACGACGCTGAAGATGCAGAACAAGATACCTGCTCAGACGAAGGTGGGCTTTGTTTTGCGTTGCGTTGTCAGGTTACTATAAACGTTCCTTCATTTAATGATACAGACCAGTTCTTTGAAGGGGCCCCGTTTTAAAATAGGTGAGGACAAATGGTCTTTTGTTACATTGTTGTAAATGGCTCTGACTTACCCCTTATGATGGTTTTGACTTTTACTTGCCGACTGCTTTGTGTGTTAAGTAGACTTTGTTTTTATTTTATTTTTTTAACATATTTTCATTGATTTCAGAGAGGAAGGGAGAGGGAGAGAGAGATAGAAACATCAGTGATGAGCGAGAATAACTGATGGGCTGCCTCCTACTGGGGATCAAGCCCGAAACCCAGGCATGTTCCCTGATCAGGAATGGAACCATGACCTCCTGGTTCATAGGTTGATGCTCAACCACTGAGACACACTGGCCAGGCAGGCTGTGTGTTTTCAAGCAGTTTTAGGTTACAGCAAAGTTGAGTGGGAAGCACCAAGAGTTCCTTGTACCATCTGGTCCCACCTACACACAGCCTCCCCGACTTTCAACGACCTCCAACAGAGGGTAAGTTGACACGTCATTGTCACCCAAAGTCCATACTTCACATTCTTTGAGTTGTCATTCTTTGGGTTCTGACAGATGCATAATGACATGTATCCACCATTGTAGGGCCATACAGCACAGCTTTATGGTCCTAAAACTCCTCTTTGGGCTGCCTGTTCTCCCCTCACCAAACCCTGGCAACCACTGATCTTTTCACTGTCTCCATCGTTTTGCCTTTTCCAGAATGTCATATAGTTGGAATCATACACTATGTAGCCTTTTCAGAATGTCTTCTTTCAAGATATGTGTTTAAGGTTCCTTCACCTCTTCATAGCTTGATAACTCATTCTACTTACCTACTTTTAGCTTATATATGAATATTTTAAAATATATTTTTATTGATTTCAGAGAGGAAGGGGGAGAGAGGGATAGAGAGAAACATCAGTGATGACAGAGAATCACTGATTGGCTGCCTCCTGCATGCCCCCTACTGGGGATAGTCCTGCAACCCGGGCGTGTGCCCTGACAGGGGAATCAAACTGTGACCTCCTGGTTCATAGGTCGATGCTCAACCACTGAGCCACACTGGCTGGGCTACATAAATATTTTTTAAAGGATGGTCCTTTTAAAGGAACTCACAGTCAAATTAAGAAACAAAATCATTTTTATTTATTTGGCTCAAGGCAAGAAAATTTATTTTCATTCCATAAAGAATTTGTTCTGAGTTAAAACCATTGGGAAGCTTACATGTGCTGAAACAGGTTATGAAATAAGGAGACTCCAGATACTAATTGCAGTAAGTTTTTCTCAGTCTTCACCAGCCCATCATCAATGGTATATAAACTTGGACCTGAGAGTGTTCTTCATTGGTAAAACAAACAAACAAACAACAACAACAAAAAACACCTCGAGGTCCAGAAAAGTGGTGTGACCTAGGGTCACATAGAAGCTACTTGCAGCACCCAGGTCCCCTGAGGCCCTAGCTCAGGGCTCCCTGAGCGGCAAGAATGCATGAGTAGAGGCGAGGGTTATAGAGCAAGCCTGTGGGGGGCGGTAGTCTCCACAGAGAGGGGTCAGGAAGAACCCTAGGAGAGCAGCTGGAGACAATGCCCGAAAGGAAGCTGTCGCAGTGCCCGGTGTGGCAAATGGATGGAGTAAGAACGGCTCCAATGCCCTGGGCTGAACAGCCAGCGCGGAAGGATGGCCTGAGGTCAGAGGAGTGTGAGAAAGTAGAGATCTTTTGCAACGTCAACTAAAACAACGTAACCATGTCGTCAGGATTGTTATGAACTCTCTATCTTGCCAATACACGTGATTTGCTGTTATAAAAAAACACCATGAACTAGATAAACAATCCAATCAAAAAACGGGTAAAGACACTTTTCGAAAGTGGACATACAGAAGGCTAAGGAGGCATATGAAAAAAATGCTCAAAGTCACTAATCATCTAAGAGATGCAAATCAAAAGGACAATGAGGTATCATCGATACCTGTCCAAATAGGTATCCTCAACAAATCAACAAACGGCAAGTGCTGGCGAGGATGTGGAGAAAAAGGAACCCTTGCGCACTGCTGGTGGGAATGCAGACTGGTACAGCCACTGTGGAGAACAGTATGGAGTTTCCTCAAAATTTAAAAAATGGAACTCCCATTTGACCCAGTAATGCCACTTCTAGGAATGTACCCCAAGAAATCAGAAATACCAGTCAGAAAGAATATATGCACCCCTATGTTCATAGCAGCGCAATTTACAATAGCTAAGACTTGAAAACTGCCCATCAGCAGTGAGTGAATTAAAAACTGTGGTACATCTACACAATGGAATACTATGCTGCTGTAAAAACAGAAAGAATTTTTACCATTTGCAGCAGCGTGAATGGACCTGGAGAGCATTATGCTAAGCGAAATAAGCCAGAAAAATAAGTATCACATGATCTCACTCATTTGTAGAATATAATGAACAACATAAACTGATGAACAAAAACAGATTCAGAGACAGAGAAGCATCGAACAGACCCGTCAAAATCACAGAGGGAAGACCTGGGAGGGTGGTGGTAAGAGATCAACTAAAGGACTTGTATGCATGCATATGAGCATAACCCATAGGCGCAGACAGTAGGGGGTAAGGGCCTGTGCTGGGGGGAGGGAGCAGGCTGGGAGAGAATGGGGGGAAAAAAGGAGATCATGGAATACTTTTTAACAATAAAGAACTTAAAAACAAACGAACAAAAAAACCATAGAACTCACCCATTTGGTAAAAACATCACACAAAGTGATTATCCCAATTATTTCCTAAACTCATTGTTTGAAGAAAGAAAAAAAAAGCAACTTTGAAATATACTTACTCTTTTTTTAAAAAATATATTATATTGATTTTTTACAGAGAGGAAGGGAGAGGGATAGAGAGTTAGAAACATCGATGAGAGAGAAACATCGATGAGCTGCCTCCTGCACACTCCCTACTAGGGTTGTGCCCGCAACCAAGGTACATGCCCTTGACCGGAATCGAATCTGGGACCCTTCAGTCCACAGGCCGACGCTCTATCCACTGAGCCAAACCGGTTAGGGCTACTTACTCTTCTTTTTAACACATTAAAAAATCTTTACGACCTTTCCCTTTTTCCATACCAGTCACCTGAAGAAATTGATAAGGAGGAAGTTCACCACCCTGACTCAGCAAGGAAAAGGGACCCAGAGGAAGAGGACACAAATGTGTACACCGAGAAGCACCCAGACAATCTGTTTAAAAGAACAGAAGTCCTGGCAGGTGAGTCGCCTGGCAGGGGAGAGGGTCCTTAAATGGGCCTCTCTGTTTGTCTAAGTGAGGTTCAGGGGTGAAGGCAAAGTTTGCTGAATGTCACCTTTCTATGAAAAGCAGCCTGGGAGGGGTGGTGGGTGGGGAGGGGAGCGGGTCTCCTTCCAGAATGAGAGGCAAGAGTTAGGCAAATGCCCTTACTTTCTGTCCACTCCCTCAGGCTCGCCTCAGCCAGCTGTTGTGGGGGAGCTGCGGGTAGGGGCAGAAGAGGAAAGTTAAGGTCTGAATTGGTCAGAACAACTGGGCGTGGGGGAGGGCAGGATGTGAAGATCCCTCAGTCTTGCTCCGAGTCATTCTCAACGTAAATGAAAGAGAAGGAAAAGTTCTTCTTGGAGCAGGCAATTGACAGGAGTAACACCCAAGGCATGGCGGATGTTGCTCTCTCTCATTGTGACGTATCTGATGAAAGTATGAACATTTGATTTTAAAGGGGTCGACTGGCAAGATTTAAGAACACGATATCCTTGAAAGGATAGCCCCAGATTCAAGTCTAGAAAAAAAAAAATTTGCCAGCTTTTTTTTCCCCCACTCTTAAAAACTTAAGTAAATCATATCATGTTTTGTTTTCATTGGAAAAGCAGTTCGCAGATGAGACTGAAATGTGAGAACTTGAAAAGGCTAAAGAATCTTAAAGGATGGAATTAGCTGAGCCTCACAGCTAGATTTTTCTTAATGAGGCTTTTGGGTGATATTATTAATACAAATCAAAGACAGGATGGGACCTTCCTGAGGAATGTCAGATTTGCACAATTGCCTGGTTGCTTCGTTGAATCCAGGTTTTAAAATTTGGGGTTTGTTTTTTTCCCCCTCCAATTAAGCCTTTTATGAAAGTGTTGTGAAATAGGTGGGGCTTGACAAAGCTACTTCTGCAGCCCCCGAATCTCTTCTGAAAGCGGTCTCCCCTTTGGTGTGTTTCAGCCGTCATCGCTGGCGGAGTGATCGGCTTCCTCTTTGCCATTTTCCTGATCCTGCTGTTGGTGTATCGCATGAGAAAGAAGGATGAGGGGAGCTACGACCTAGGAGAACGCAAACCATCCAGCGCGGCTTACCAGAAGGCACCTACGAAGGAGTTTTATGCGTGAAACTCCCACTGAGTGTCTCTATTTATGAGATCACTGAACTTTAAAAAAATAAAGCTTTTGCATAGAATAATGAAGATCTTTGTTTTTTTTGTTTTTGTTTTTGTTTTTCATTAAAGAGCCATTCTGGCACTTTAATGATAAAACCCCATTGTATTTAAAACTTTACATGTATTTTCTTTAGGACAACATAAAGTTAAAACTTAACATCTGCAGTGTTCTGTGAATAGCAGTGGCAAAATATTGTTATGGAAATTCTCAATGTTCATGGAATCGGTGTAAACTTCTATGCGCAAATGATTGTTTTTCTTCAGTGGTTCGAAGATGAACGCTGTTTCATTTGTGTCAGCATGTCTCCGATGGACCTAGCCAAGTTGGTCTTACTTTGTTAATTTATCTGTTGTTCCCTTCTTCTCCCCGGCTCTCCCCTCGTGTCCCGTGAAAAACAAAACAAAACTCTATGCCTTTTGTAGCTGTTACGGTGCAATTTGTCTTTGGATAATTTAGATGAGGGTAATTTAGTGTATATGTGATTTTCAAATATGTAAACTTTAACTTCCACTTTGTATACCTTTTTTTTTTTTTAAGTGTCAGACTATCCATTTTACACTTTGTTTTTCATTACCTGTAGCTTCAGGCAGATTTGCAAGAGCAGAGTAATGTGTAAAATTGGATTATTACCAGAAAACTTTAGTCTTATCGAATCAGATCTTCTTTTGGGGGGGATTTGATGTGAGTTACTGACAAGCCTCAGCAAACCCAAAGATGCTAACAGTATTTTGAGAAGTTGCTGCAGATTCCTTTGGCCACTGTATTTGTTAATTTCTTGCAATTTGAAGGTACGAGTAGGAGTTTGAGGAAAAATCAGTTTTTGTTCTTAAAAAATGCATTTAAGTTGTAAGCGTCTTTTTAAGCCTTTGAAGTGCCTATGATTCTATGTAACTTGTCACAGACTGGTGTTAATGAGTATATATAACAGTTAAAAAAAGTTGGTATTTTATAAGCACAGACAATTCTAATGGTAACTTTTTTGTAGACTTATGAATAGACATAAATTGTAATTTGGGAACATAAAAACTACTGAATAAATCATGTGGCCTCATAATGGAAAATGTCACTGTTATAAATTTTGCACATTTCGATCAAATGTACATCTCCCCGTGGCTAATGACAGTACGCTCTCAGGGATGATGTGGGATTGATTTCTGAGTGGTCCACAGCGTCTAAGTCACAACGCGAGAGCTCCTCATCGAGGCTGTTAGATTCGCCTCCCGATGGGCCAGAGGAAATCTGAAGGTATCATCCTGTGTGTGTTGGGGCGTGGATATTAGAAGGCTGCCAGGATGGGAGCTGAAGTTTGCAACCTTTACAGGATAGCTGCTGGCAATATGGAGACAGATGCCTGCTTTTGCAAACAGTTTTTAGGGCTATAAACTCCAAAGAACTGAAGGGAGCTTTCTTGACGTTGGTATCTGAGATTTCATTTTTCTTGTTAATCCTCTCTCGATATTTTCCCATTGATTTGTGTTTTTTTGTTGTTTTTGTGGTTTTTTTAGAGAGAGTGGAAGGGAGGGGGAGAGAAACATCGATTGGTTGCCTCCTGCACGCGCCCAGACCAGGGCCGGGGATTGCCAGGGATTGCACCTTCCACCGAGGTATGTGCCCTTAACCTGAATGGAGCCCGGGCCCCTTCAGTCCACCTGCCGACGCTCCGTGCACTGAGCCAAACCAGCTAGTGCTGAGATTTAGTTTGATAGGTTGATTCACCTTTGAAACTGTGCTCCGATCTCTCCTGCAGCCTAAGCAAAGCCCTAATAAATGGACCGCCATCGTTTACACCATCGGGAAGGAGAGAAGGGCGGGAGGCTGGGTATGAAAAGGAGGCCTTTGCTGCTTGGGGTTGACACTGCAGCCAGCAGTGATGTCTGCGGGGGAGATGGAAGTTTGAGTCCCCTGCCTGGGTACTTTTTTCTAAGGAAACATTTCCTTTTTCTACTTTACCATTTATTTTTCTCTTACATTGTGGGCTGCCAGAATAGGGAGAAGACAGCAAAAACAGTAACCTTGACAACAGAATTTACTTTTAATAAATATGAATACTTCATTTAGAGAACAATTCCCTGGAATTGCCACAGGGCTCATTTCTTTAAAAAAAAAAAAATGTAAAGCAACACTTGGAACAGTGTTCACTTAAATCTTAGTGGCCCGAATTCTCAAATTCCTGTCCACCACTTGCAGAATCAGTCTGCTCTGGAGGGATTAAAAGGGAGTGATAGCAGCTTCTAAAGCTGCACAGTGCCTCTCGGTTCAAGGCGAAGGATCTAGTGAGCTTACCTCTCCCAGCGCAGGGCCTAGTGGAAGTCAGTTTGTAGAATAACAACTGCTGGGAAAATCTATGCCAGGAAGAGAACATTTCTAGAAAATATTTTGTCACTGCTGTAAAGCAAAATATTTGTTCAAGTGCCAAAATAAAGTCTGTCATGCTGGAAGTAAAAACCATTGTATACACGGATATCCAGTTCTCTTCCACTGTGTTTTCTGCTGAGCTTTCTTTTCTTACTTTTAAGATGCAATAAATAGTGCTATAGAAAGTGTTAGTGATGATTACCGAGTTCAGGAAAAGTTTGGTCCACTCTTAAGTATGACAGCCAATATGAAAATGTCCTGTTTTCTTAACCACATGTAAATGGTTTCCTTTGTGTGACTGGCCTTGTGTTCGGGAGACCTGCAGAATTGAAACTCCCATTTTCAGCAGATGGGGGGACATGGGGTGAGCTCACGTTTTGTTTTTTTTTTAAGTTTCAACCGCAGGTGAATGGGGACCTGGTTAATCAAATTGAATGTGGGTTGGACAAGTTTGCAGACTTTGCCACCTATTAATGTTAAAAGTTGATAGTTTCAGATCCAATGTTGAGTGCATTGGTATCTTTGTGATACACTTCTGTTTTTTAAAAAAATACGTTTTATTGATTTTTTTTACAGAGAGGAAGGGAGAGGGATAGAGAGCTAGAAACATCGATAGGAGAGAAACATCGATCTGCTGCCTTCTGCACACCCCCTGCTGGGGATGTGCCCGCAACCAAGGTACATGCCCTTGACCAGAATCGAACGTGGGACCCTTCAGTCCGCAGGCCAGTGGTCTATCCACTGAGCCAAACCAGTTAGGGCTGTGATACACTTCTTTTTTGCAAGTTAGACAAAATGCACCTGCTTATTGAGGATGCAGTCTCTTTCTATAGGGTTTAGGAGACTAAGCTAAATATGTAGAACATAATCCCCTTTTTCTGGTTGCCCTAGGACGGGTGGGGAACCTTTTTTCTGCCAAGGGCCATTTGGATATTTATAATAACATCATTCATGGGCCATACAAAATTATCAACTAAAAAATTAGCCTGCTATCTTTGGTCAGACATTTAATGAACTCACCCTGAATGCGTTGGCAGGCCAGACCAAATGATTTCTTGGGCCTTATGTGGCCCGTGGGCCAGATGTTCCCCTCCCCTGCCCTAGGAGGTTTCTCATGAAAAGGAATCAAGCCAGATGATAAAAACAGTTGAGTAAACACTAGAGTTTTTTTTAGTGCTAATATTTTATTACAATAGTGAAATTTGAGATTTGGCCATTTCTGGGGAATTAGATTTTGCTGGCATAGAAAACTTTAAAAAGGATAGAACAACTGTTTGCCATTTAGTGGTAAAAACAGTATTAACATGAATTTTGTCCCTCCCACCTAACTCTGGGCGACTTCATGCTTATGTTTTTGGTTAAAAGCTTTCATTCCTTTTTTGTTTCTCTGCTGCATGTGGTATTTAGCAGGGCCTTTTCTGACCAAGGAATCGTGGTTGCTTTGGGAGCAACGTGGTGACCTAGGAGTTAGCTGGAAGGGTGTAACCCAAGTGGCAGCGTGAAGCTTTAGGCTTCTGGTGTTCAGATGTACTGAGCGCAGACTAACTCATTCCAGGTGCCTTGGCAAAATAGCATTCAAGCAACAGATGCTTTATGTGCAAGGCATCAGAGGTTTAACCAACAGATATTTGCCTACTGTCTCTGCCTGGAGCCCTCTTCTAGAAGCTGGAGGGTTTCGGGGGGAGGTGAGTGCACTAAGTAGATAGAGCCCTGCTCTCATGGGGTTTGAGAGGGGTGCATAGTGGAAAGAAAGGCAATAAATAAAACCAGTGGGAATTACCAGTCAGGGGTGATTTCCATGATGGCCATGGTGCAGGCTAATGCCAGGGACTGAGGACTCTGCCAGCCCAGATGGGATGGGCACGCTGCAGTAACCATCTTAAAGTCTCAGCAACTTACAATGGCAAAGGCTGACTTCTTGCTCAGGCAACGTGTCGTGGGTTGGCAGATCTCTGAATAATCGTCACCCTCTGCCCAGGACTCAGGCTGATGGAGCAGCCACTATCCTGAACGCTGCCCGTCACTGTGGTGGAGGGAAAATAGTGATGAAGCACACAGTGGCTCTTAAGGGTTCCACCCAGTAGTGACATGTCACTCCCACCCACATTTTATTGGCCAAAGCAATTCATGTGGCCACACCTACCTTCCCGGGTTCTTGAAGTGCCATCCTACTTTGTGCCCAGAGGAGAGAGATGGGATATGTGTGACCAGCTGTAACTACTACAGCCTGGTCAGAAGGGATCTCTGAGGTGGGGAAGCTGGATGATGTGGAGCCAGTTGTGCTAAAACCAGGACGAGCATTCCAGGCTGTGGGAAGCCCTAACCAGGGGAGGGTCCTGGCATGTTGGAGGAATGTAAGGCCGGTGGCTGCGGAACAAGGGACAGGGGTACAAGAGGTGGGGTGATGGGCTGAGGAGTGTAATTGCCTTATTTTTTTTGTTCCCTTATGTGTTTTATAAGGGAACAAAGGAAGCGAGGCTGATCTTTACCATATAAATGATTTTATGTTACTCCCTTCAATGGCTCCTATAACACTTAGAATAAACTCCTGACTCCTTACACTTGATCTCCAAGATCAAGAACTGACCACTGGCAGGTGCCTTATAAGGAGACAGTGGGGTAGCATGGCCAGTTAGGAAGCCGTTATTGTTACTTTGGGAGAATGGTGCTGGCTTGGCCTTGGGTGGTGATAGCAAAGAAGGCAAGGACTGGAGGAACTGCTTTGGAGGTAGGAGCAACAGGTCTTACTAAAAGGTTGGAGGGAGTAAGGAAAGAAAGGAAGCAAAGATGACACCCATATTTTTGGCTGAGCTTGGTGACTTACCTCTTAAGAGCGGCAACATGGGTGAGTTCCAATTGGGCCAATTAAATTCGGACTATAGGCACCCAGGTGAACAGGTGAACAACTGAAAGAAAGAATCTGGAGCTCAGAGAAGAGGTCTGAACGGGAGGCATTAATTGAGAAGTAGTGTCCATCCCTTGCCTGTTGGAATGCTGAATTATTTCCTACTCCTACCTGCTCTTCTCTGTGTAGAAGTTAGAGTGGGGAAAGGGATGACCCATGCGAACTCCATTTCCCAAGCTTCTTTGCCAATGGCTTCCGAGAAACTTTGGCCAATAGGAAGTACTGGTAGAAGAAAGGCTAAAGGTCAGGAGGAAGGGAGAAGCCAGAGTACTTTCCCCTCTCCCTCTGTGGGCAGCTTCTCTAGCATTAATGAGTCTCCTCTGTGGTTTGGATTCCCAGTGGACAGACTCTCCTGCCAGCTCCCAGCTCCCACGGTTCCTAAACTCTCATAAACCTCACTTTCCGAACCGCTTTGCCTCTCCAGCCTGAGGGAGATAGCAGCTTCCTGCTGATGCTCTGCCCTGGGCTAGCTCACCCTCCCCAGTTTTCCCTTCCAGCTTCCCCAGCATCTTTGTAAGTAATTCCCTGGACTAAATTCCTTCTAGGCATCGCCGGCATGGGTTCTATTTCCCTTCCTGGACCCCCACTGATGACACAGGGGTGAACAGCATGTAGATGGAACTAAGAGCCATGGGACTACAGGAGAAGGTCTGCAGAGGTAAGTAGATAGAGACGGCGGATGGCCCTGGGTCTGCCTTCTAGCAGTCTGTCTTTGTCGATGAGCCATTTCATTACCAGATTCACTCCTTAGCTCTGCTCACAGGACTGGGTTTTCATGTTAGCAGATGCTTTAG